AACTTTATTTGAATGTGATCCAAACTTTTGTGCAGTTTGTGGTGCAATATTGTCTTTACCAGATCAATCAAAAAAAATTACATGCAAAGCTTGTGGTACCATTCTTGATATATCAGTATTAGAAGATATTGAAATACACTCATATAAAGACTTTAATCAAGACAAGTTAAAGAGTTTTGAAGAAATATCTAGGTTGAAGAATCTTTCTGAAAAGTGCGGGCCATACGTGAAAAGAAGATGTCCACAATGCAATTATAGAAAAATGACATATACAACAAGACAAACAAGATCTGTGGATGAAGGGCAAACTGTGTTTTACACTTGTTTAAAATGTCAGTTTACGGAAACAGAATATTCCTAGATAAAAGTGGATAATTAAATGATAATTTTATAAAAGCAAATTTATCTTTTTATCTTTTGATTTTATAAAAAATAACAGTGAATTTTTATGCTTAGTTTAAACTTTAATTCAAATAAGTAAAAACTTTATTAGTATAGTAAAGTTTTAGTAAAGTTCATTTAATATAGTAAACTCCTAATAATTCTAATCTTAAAGGAACGTAGAAAATGGTTAGAGTTATGGAGTGATTTTTATGAGAAATTGGTTTAAACAGGGACTTGAAAATATTTTAAATTACTGAAAGTTTGAGTTATTAAAGGTTTAATTATTGGGAGTTTACTGTAATTTTCTATATTTATTATTATTTTTTTTTTTGCCTCAATACTTTCATCTTAAGTGTCAAAAAAAAATCTAAAATCTAAAACAAAGTTGATGCCACATAAATATTAAATAAATAATTTTAAAGTAATTAGATGGCTTGACCTGTTATTATTGTTTTATTTATGTTTTATCAAATTAAAACATTTAATTATCTGGTCTGGTTGCTTCACTTTAAGGTATTAATAGGTTTAGGTATAGATAAAAAAAATATGGTTTACTGGAGTGAAACTCTAGCAATAACAGTTAAAATTGTTCTAACATTATTTTTATTTACTAAGTTTGGCTCTGTATTCTCCTCTGTAAAAGCCAGACGTCTAGCATAACAAGCTCTATTTTAGTAGTGTTTTTTATAATAAAACTTATGAACTACAATACATAAAAAGTAACTTACTTTCAACATTAACTTATTATTTAAAACTTTTTTAAACTTTATTTATAGGTATTTTTTGGAAGGTTTCTACTAAATCTGAGATATAGTGTATTATTTAAAAATCCACTACAATGGTAGGATCTTGACTTTATTAAGTTTAAAATATTTTCAAAAATCCTCTGACTACATGAATGTTCTACACACATTCACAAAGTCCTCTGACTTTGTGAATGTGTGCAGAATGGATCCTAATTTAATACATTTATTATTATTTATATTCGAAAATAAATTAGTTTTTTTTAGTTAAAAAATAGTATGAATTGTCACAACTGCCTACTAACTGAATGACTAAATGGATTTTTACAAGCAGTTTTTTAAAATTAAAGCAATTGCATAGGATTTATTTTTATCTTTGAAAAATCCTAAATAAGAAAACAAAACAAGTTGAGCTTAAGAATATTTGTGTTCACTAATTTGAGGCAATAGTGGAAACTTTAGTCAGCAATAAAAGATAAACAGTAATTGTATAATATTTTAAAAAGAAAATGAAATTAATATTATATGATTTCTGTTGCAATATTAGAAATTATTTAATAATTTTAAGAATTATTACATTTAATTCAAGCTAAAAAATTTTTTTTTTTAGTTTGAATTAAATGTAATAATTTTAAATGCTAGTTTAAATAATGTTGAATAATTTATTTTAAATAAAGGATGAAACTAACAGTATACTCAGCAACCTTTTTTACGTTTGTGGCTTGTGCAACAAATGTCATCTTTTTGGAACATCTTGTCAAGTATGAAATTATTTTAAAATTTATAAATTTATAAATAATTTGGGAATAAGAAATATATACTATATATATATATATATATATATATATATATATATATATATATATATATATATATATATATATATATATATATATATATATATATATATATATATATATATATATGAATATATACAATTTGTATATATTGTATATATACAATATGTATATTTGTGTATATACAATACAAATAAATTGTATATACACAATAATACAAATAAATTGTATATATACAATAAACAGTATATATAATAAATAATATATATGTATAAATATATAATATAAAATATATAATTAATAATATACATTTGCAGGGATCAAATAAGTGCCAGGCATCACTGCCTGTCAGACAATTCCTAAGACCTGCTAGATGGAGGCAACCAACCATTGTTTTTTTTTTTTAATGTTGGAGAGTGTAAATAGCATTTTAATAAAAAAATAATATTAAATAAAAGTTTTTATTACTACTAACAATAATTTATGTATTTATAATAATAATAGTTATTATTATTATTATTATTATTATTATTATTATTGTTTTTGTTGTTGTTCTTATTAGTAGTAAAAAGTGTATTTACATTAATAATGATTTTTATAATAGATATTTTAAGATGCTTTTAAATTCGCTATGAACAACAGTTCTAAAATAAATTGAATTTAGGCTGCTTTACTTTTTTTCAAAAAAAAAAAAATTAATTTTATCTGAATTTATTATATTTGTAAATAATGAGCATATTTTATGTATTTGGAATTTAAACTATTGTAACAAAGATATGTGGTTTTTAAAACAATAGCTACCTTATTAAAATACTGTTAAAATAAATGTTAATCACTTCATTAAAATACCGCTTAAAAATATTTATACAGTTATTTAAATATAATCAAACCAAAATATTTTTAGTAAGTAGTGTAAAGTAATGTCACTCTACTATAAAGTCACTCTTTATGCATATGAAATGTTTTACCTGAAGAAAGAATCGAATATGTAATTTTATTCTTATTTTGTGAATCGATTGTCTTTTTGTTTACTAAAATACATTTTATATGCTTAGGTTAATATTTTTGTAAAGTTTAATTTATTCTAAAAAAGTTTTTAAAAGATATTTTATCATCTTTTTGTTTAAAACCCCATAAGTTTGTATAACAGTTTCACAATAAAAAGAAAAAAATTAACCTGGGATGTTTTGGAAATACATGGGGAGAAGCATTGCATCTAACAGAAAATTTGAAATTAAGGTGAGCATAAGTTTTATAGTTAGAGTCACTAACTATAGTGAAGGATTCCTACAAAGCAGCAGGATAGAACAGGTTGCATTGGATTACAAGTTACCAGTTTGCAGGGTGATTAAGGTGGTCATATGCCTGAACAGGCATATGACTTATATAACTAATATATAACTTTTTTATATTATTATTTATTTGATTAATAACTAAATTAATAAATAAACAAACAAACAAAAAAATATGTAAAAATTAATTTGAAAAAAAATGTTTAAATAAAAGAAGTATTTTTACTATCCCTGGAATAAAGAAGGAACAAAATAAAAGTTCAGTGGAAATATCAAAAATTCATCAAAACAAAATTTTAATTTCTTGAATAAACTTGTGCAAGCGCAGCCTGCATATCTTGGTGGAGTTGCTAACCAGGCTCTGCAACATTTAAAAGGATAGACAGTTCAGTTGCAAGTTGCTTTCACCATGCCAAACTGTCAGTATTATCTCAATTTTTTGGATCTTGTATTTAAGTATTGGTCTATTTCCAATTTATTAGGTGAATATTATATATTTTGCTAAGATTTATAATTATCTTCATTCCAATTTTGTGTATTACCAGCTTCAGAGTCAATACCAGCATTGCTGCTGGTATTGACTCTGAAGCTGAAGGCAGATGATGAAGAATTCTAAAAGTATTTTTTGGTTGTGGGGTGGTTGTCAAAGAGTTTTTTAATATTTTAATCATCAACATCAAGAAGATGAAAAAGTCTACATTAAATTACTTGAATATTATCAAACTTTTTTTTTTAATTGAATGAAAATCTGTGTGCACAAGCCTAATTTTAAACAAATTAACATTAGGGTTCGTTCATAAATCTCACACAATTTTTGATTGTTTTTGACCCCCTTCCTCCTTGTCACAAAATTATAACATTTTAGTAACAAGTCCTGCATAAATCATCATAAAGTTACTACCCTCTAACCTTATAGTGTGGTGTAATTTATGGACATAGCAGTTACCCTTAGCAGTTAATTTAGATGTTATTTATTTGCAATTTAAAAAATGCATTGATTTTATTTAAAATTATTATTTTGAAAAGAATACGAGTTCATTAATTTTTAAGCATTAAGAAATAACAAACTCATATTATTTGTGTGTTTCTCAGATAAAAATTTAAAAAATAAAAAAATAAAAATTTTGACTGTCCAAAAAAAACGATTGACTGTCTATTCCATGTGTTAGCCGGTCAAATTGACGGCTTGTTTTCAATTTCTTGTTTTCAACACTAGTTATTATATAGGTTATATACTTGTAAATAATAAAGTACAATTTTAAACTTGTACATTATTATTTACAAGTATATAACCTATATAACAAAAAAAAAAATATTATAAAGACAAGGTACTGAATGGATGAACTGGTACAAATAATAAAATATAGTTTACTTAGTAAGTAGTATTTACCTATATTTTTGTTGAAATAATTCATATTAAAGATGTTGGGAGATAAGGCGGTAGGAGGCATAATGAATGATGATCAGTTTACTTTAGTTGTTGTATGTTGAACACAAAATAAAACAATACCAGGTAAGAGTTATGATACTATGTAAGATTTAATTAAAATAACAATACCATAAATAAAATTAAATTATGGAAACAATACCACACAATTATTTAAATTAAAATAACAATACTAGATAAGAAGTTTATATACATAAATGATGCCACTTAACTATTTAAATTAAAGTAATGATACCAGATGAGAATTAAAATTATGAAAGCGATACTACATGATCCTTTAAAATTTCTATTACACTTTATGAGTCAGTTATATAACTTTTAGTTATTGTATAAATTTACTTTTTTAAATTACAAATCTTTTAAAAAAAAAGAATAAATTTTGTTGTGAAGAACCAAGCTGCTATATAAAATGATACCAACAATACCAATATAACCAATACATTCTTTACCAGTTTTTTTTTTTTTTTCATTGTTTATCATTGGACAGTGTTTATCATTGGGCAGGGTACCAATACCTAAAAAGTTTTTTGAAGTATCATTCACTTTTTTTACTATAAAAGTAATGTAAAAACAATTGCTCATTCAAATTTAAGGCTTTAAGCAAACATTGAAAAAGCGTTTCAGCTGTTATTAGCATCATACTTCAAAAATTGCAGCTTGAAGTTCAATAAAAAAATGATATAAATCATTTTGAGTTTAAAAAATTATTTATTACTAATTACAAAGACAAATAAATAGATAGCAAGCAAAAAAAAAAAAAAAAACTTGAGCAGTAACAATTCTAAAAATAATTTGGATGACATCATAGAAATAAATTTCATAATGGCCAAATTATTGAGTATTAAAACTTGTATATCCTATCCTTAATGCAATGATACTTTTTCCAGATTACTGGTCTGATTTAAAATAAAACAAAAAGTTAAAGAACTTGACTGGTTGATAGTTTCAATAACTGATTGTTCTTTTAGTAAGTCTACAAGAAAGCTTGTAAATTTATATTTATGACAAGATAAAAATAATGGTGAGAAGCAAGCAAAATTATTTAATATATAATTTGAACTACTGTAGATGGATAATGTCTTGTCAATTGACCCAGGCCATGTCACCATGCATCTCAGATTTTGCTGATTTTTATACAATTGAGAGTACTTAGTAAAATAAGAACTCCTTGAAATTTTAGCCTTTATCTCCAAGAAGATCCTAAAATATGACCATTTTACTATTTTATATAAGACACAGGGGGAGGGGGGAGGGAGGTCATTAAGAATACACAAATTTCAGCATTTGTGTATTCCTGATGAACATGTGTTAATATTGTTTACAGGGCAGACTACCAGTGGGTTGGGAGGCCATGCCCTGTCTAATTTTTTTTTCAATCTTGTTGAAGAGACAAAAAAATATCTTTCACATTCAAAAAAATTTATGTAAGAAATCAATCACGGTTTAGTTTTCTATTACCGCTGTTATGACTAATAGGTTTCTATTACCGCTGTGCTTTAGTTATATGATTTAAGATAGAAGTTTTCAGTTAGTCAGTTAAAATAATGATTTTAAAAGGTGATCATTTTCTTTTTTATTGATGTAATGTTATGGCAGGATGTTTTTTTTATTTTTATTTTTTTTATTTTTATTGTTACTGTTGGGTTTTATTGACAACTTGTTATTAACATTTTAGCATTAAAAAGTATCAACTTTTTTTAAAAATTTTTAAAAAAGATCATTGAATATAGAATGATCAAAAACCCAATGCAACAAGTATAAATCAAAAAAGTTTTTGAAGACAAAATTTTCAAAGTTATATTTCTTTGTTAAAATCAGGGGAAAAAAAAAGTTTTTTTAAAAGTGGAACATGACCCCAGGTGCCCTGGCCTCACAGACCATCAGGTTGTCTGCCCTGAAAACAATTTTGAAAAACACACTTTTATCAGGACTACACAAATGCTGAAATTTTTAGAGCTCCAGTTTGTCTAGAAAGTAGTGAAAAGTCGCATTCCACTACAATAAAGTGGGGCATATGACCCCGTCCCTCATCTCTGTTGTCTTGGGCCCTGGAAACAACTTTAACATGCACAATCATCGGCACTATAAAAATTTCGAGTCTCTAGCTAGTCTGGAAGGTTAACAGATTAAATGTTTTTATAGTTATGTAACTTGACTTCTAAATAAATGTTGCAATTCTGAGGGGACAAGCCAATATCTGTTAAATGTAAAATGATCATATTTCTGGATCTTCTTCGACGCTAAAATTTTAAGGAGTTCTTATTTTACTTAGTACTCTTAACAGTACAAAAATCAGCAAAATCTATGATATTTTTGATTGAAAAATCTCCAGCTCATTTGACATAAAGATGATGTTTGTGAGTTTTATGAAAGATGGTCCTTTTTTTGTTATACCAGCTCAGCAATCTAACAGCCAGATTATCACCATTTTTTTTGTGCAAGGATCTCACTTTAAGACAATAAAAAATATTTCTTAGTCCAAAATTTAAGCCATAGAGCTGTTTAGTTTCAAAATCCGCATCATTCAGCACAAAAAATTGCAAATAGGAAAAGTTTTAAAAATTAATCAAATATATAGTTTTTAAGTAAACTTTGTGAAAATCTTAATTCTAAAATGTTTACAACTAGAGCTGCATTAGAGATCATTTAGAACGCAAAAAAAAAGTGTTCATAGTTGCATTAAAGGGTTAAATGATTAAAAAATTAAGTAAGGATAAAAAAAAGCTGAAAAGTTATTAAATCTCTTTTAATTGTTTCTTGTGAGTCTAATAAAAAAGATTTATTTGTTCAAATAAGGTGAGTGGACCATCAAAGTTGATAAACTGTAGTGAAGAAAAGTCATCCGTTCATAGGACTTATATAGCAATTGTGATTTGCCGTGTAGCAATAGAGGCTTAAGCTTTGGTATTACAGATGGTAATTTTTACATAATAAAATAGTTTTACTTTTCTACAAATTTTATGTTTTCCTAATTTTTTAAAAAGTTTTCTGTAAATACAAATTTAACTATATATTTTTGCAATATAGATGTGTTTTTTTCACTCATTATCCATACAAAAAATTAGAATTTTTTTTTTAAAGTAAAGCAGTTCAAGTTTAGAATAAATCTAAATCTAATAACTCTAAAATTTAATCTAACCCTGACAATAATGATTTCGAAGTATGTCTAATAGTTAAGAGGTAAGGAAAAACTTCATCCTACCCCTAGTTCTGCCTTTTTTTGCATCCTCTTTTAGGTAACCTTTTTTTTTTTGCTATATTCCATTACATGGGTGTTTATTGAAGTTTTAGGTTATTGGAGGATTTCAGAATACCATAGCATTTAGAGTTGCTTGTAAACCATAAGAAGAGCATATAATGTTAAATGAAAGTTAGTTGTATGCTATTGATGAGAAAGTGTTACAGGAATGGATTTTTATTTGGTTTCTGAACCCATAAAGTGTTTTATTAGAGCTTTAAATTTACTAATTGGTTGACCATCTGATCTTTGGGTAGTATTTATGTTTGTATTTGCAATTCGTTAGTATTTGTAGAGGTTAAGCACTTAACTTGAAGATTTTGTCAATAAAGTAAAATAAAACTCATTAAAATCAGCACATAAAAATATGTTCATTAGAAACATTTGCAAAATAAACTTAGTGTTTGTTGAATATTATGTATTGACAGATGATTTTCATCTTCTGAATTTTATTGACTAAAGTATACCTAGATATAAATTGTAAATGAATTTTTATTATGCAATCACAAAGTTACATAGAAAAAAATTAAATTCCAAAAAACTGGAGTTGCAATAACCTTTATCCCTAAAAATGATAGGATCATGGTATTTTGGATTTCACAAATTGCGAACCCTATGAAAGATAAATATCATTTTCCATTGATTTTGAATATTTTAATTTTTTTTAAATACATTAGAAAACAAAGTTGAGAAAAAAAAGCAACTGTTTAGAATTAAATATTTTTGGAATTAATATATGTAAATGACTCAGTAATGTGAATAATGTAATTGCAAATACTTAATAACATACAAACTTAATAACTATAAATATATAATAACAAATATAAGTATTACCAAAATTTGTTCTATTTTTATAAAGTAGAATAAAAACTCTTGATTTTTTTTGTATTTTAATAATTGTAACAACAATAACAACAACAACAACAAATAACTGCTTAACTTAAAAGATATTTCAGACTAATATGTTTATTAATTTTAATTTCTGAGGATAAATAATTTATTTTTTATTATTTTCTTTAGATTTTCTCCTGGTTGTGGAGAACTTGTAACTTTTGCGCAGTTTTTATTTATTGCTTCTTATGGTTTTGTCACAGTGGCAAAATTTGGAACTGAACCACCCAAGGTTCCTATTAGGTATAACATTAAATATTTTAAAAAAGTACTGTCATTTTGCAAAAGACTTAATTAAATAAGTAGCTTTTTTCATATTTCAATGATGATTATTATCATCTTATTATGGACTCTAATACTATCTTATGGGGAAATAGTGTTAGAGACAATATATAACCTTCAATGTAGTGCACATTTTGGGTCCAGGGCACAAATTACAAGAAATTGTTGACATTCGTTTCTTTGTTTATTGACGAACGTCTAATTTAAGAGGTATCTTAAATAGTAGGGCAGACAACGCGAGGAGGGGGGCAAGAGGCCTTTTCACTGCCCCTCCCCCTTCCCCCTACTTTTTTTGTAAAGGTCCTTCTTTTTTTTTTAAGAGAAATTCTAGATATAGAGGACCTTTTTTTAGAAATATATACTGTACCTCCACTTCAAAACCTGTGTCGTCGAGTACGAATAACCCAATTTTTTTTTGATTCTTTAAAATTTTATTATTTTTTTATTCAAATAATTTTTTATTAAATTATAAGGGAGTTTTATTACAAATAATTTTTATTCTAGTTAATAAGATATATAATAATTAGATATATCAAAGTTGCTTATTGAATTTTATCAATTTTTTATTAATTCAAAACAATTTTTCACACATTTGCAAAATGCGTGCAAATTAATGATAACTAATATGCAATAACCTTATGACTGTAAACTGTTATTCATTAATACAAAATAGTGAATTTTTCTCAATTTAGTTTGTTAAATTTATTTACTTATAAAAAAAAGTATAAAGACCACAGTGGCGGATCGGGGCCTAGGGCTGACTTTTTTGAAGAAAAAAAAAAGTCCCTAGCACTACCCCCCCCCATTATTATTTTTGTTCCTAATGGCCTGTATAGGTGTTGTTAAACGTACAGTAAAATATGAAAACTATAATAAACATAATAGTTCTATATATTCTATTAAATTATATATATTTCTGCTAACTTACAAAATTTTTTCAAAACTTTTAAAAAGGCAAGTTTAATTTTATGATAATAAAAAAAAATTAAAAAAAGCAGGTTTTTGAAAAAGAAATGTTTTAGCATGGTTTCTTTTAAAGTAATTGCAAATGCATTCATTTTTAACTAAACTTTCCCATTCTTTTGTAAACGTATGTAAAAACCATGCTAAAATATAATCACTTTCTTCAGTTACATACTTAATTATTAAACCTAAAAGTAATACTATTAAAGAATGTATTAGAATGGTTTCTTTTAATGTCGTTGAAAATGTGTTTTAAATTTTAGTAGCTTATTATTTTTTATTAATAATTGTGTTTTTTTTAATAATAAATAAAAAACTATCAATCACATAATTATTTGAAAAAAAATTGCTGAAGTTATGCGTTATTTCTAAAAATTTTAAGCGAACGCCAACGTTTGCTTAAGTAAAAGTAAGGAAAAATGACGCTCGTTTTTCTTTTTTTTTTTAACAAACATTTGCACGTTCGTTGATTTGTTGCTCCCTGGGGTTATATTATTGGGAGGGGGGAAGACTATGGAAAATAGGAGGGGTATAATATACAAGAACATATATCTAAATGCCATTTTGTAATTGTTTTTATTTTTACATCTACCATAATACTCTTGTTTTTAAATATATTGTGTTAGTGTATCAATTGATTAAATAACTGAACAGTTGTGATCTTGTCAAATGATTATTCTATATTTTCTAAAAGGATTTTTACAATTTAAAATTGCTTATAAGTAGTAAAAACTAATCTGAAGTAAACACCTGATATGACATCAATAGTATAAACTAACATGAAGTAAATACCTGATATGATATCAGTAGTATAAACTATCTTGTATCTCAATGCAGGTTTTTTTGTCAAGATTATTCCATCAATGGAGTTATTGGGTTGCAGGAGAGGTATAATAACAGTTAAGAAAATAGTTAAAAGGAATAATATGTGCAGCCTCCTTGACTATAGTGGTACTCTAAGGTTTAAGTAGGTAAATGTTTATAAGGTTTTAAGGTTTGGGTAAATATGTTTAAATATATTTAATATTTTAGTAATCAGAGAGTAAAGTAGCACGCAAAAGGTGTTTCTTTTAAATTAATGTTTTGCATATGAATGCCTTAGTTTTTTTTTAAAAAAAAAAAACCTTTAGCCTGAATTATTATTGAATTATTATTAACTTCTTTTAAACAAGTCTAAATTTAAAAAATGCTTTGAACAGTTTTTGTTCCTAATAACTACTAATAATTAATTTTTTGCACCATAAATGTTTTAAGGATTTAAATATTAAGGTATTAAAACAATTTATAAGTTTTTTTTTTAGTTATTAAGGCTCTCTGAGAAAATCTAATGGCCTCATCACAGAGCACTTATTTAGACAGTTCAAGCTTTCTTCCTTAACAATCCCGCTTATTTGGCACAGAGTCAGCATCAAATCTCTTGATTCTAAGCCAAAACTTTAACCACTTCATCACTGCTGCTTGAAGTTTGATACATATTCTTTCATTAAAAAGTACATTTAAAACAATCAATTTTAATACATATATATATATATATATATATATATATATATATATATATATATATATATATATATATATATATATATATATATATATATATATATATATATATATATGATGCAGTATTGTAAATTTAGAATGCTCTACAAACTAGCAAAACACAATCAAAGTCAAGTAAAACATCCTTTCTCTGGTTATAAAAATACATTTGACGTTAACTCAAAAAATCAAACTAAAAGCTTATAAATTTAAAAAAATTAAAACTATACATATTTTCTTAAATAAACACTTAACATAATGGTGTAATTAAATATCAGCACCAAATGCAATTTAATAAGATTATAAAAGCTTCAAATTAGAAGAAAACTTAAATGATTGATTTCTCTAAACAGAGATTTTTGAATTAACATTTTTTGCCAGTATACCCACGATATATTATTCTAACCAGTGCTCTCAAAACATGTTATAAAGTGTGTCATTAAATTATTATTGCAAACTTAGTGGTGTAAAAATAAAGTTGTTAAAAATGTCTTAAAATTTTTTATGATTTTAATAGCATTTCTTGATATAACAGTTGAACAGTTATTATGAGCTTATGTAGTTTTTACTATTTTTATTTTCTTAAGAATTTAATTCATAAATAATACAAAAAAAAACATTTATTTAACTTTAAGTAATGCAAAAAGTATATAATTTTAAATTTTATATATAAGTTTTTATAAGTTATAATAATAATTTTTCTTGTTCTTAATGAATTTTATTTTACTGCTTTAATAATACTTTTTTCTGCTGCTCATCAGTTTTTATTTGCTTTAATTATTTTTCAGTTAAAGCTAATAAATTTGAATATGTATTTTAATAAAAATTGAACTTTTGAAATTATAGAAAAATAAAATTTAAAAATTATAAATAAATTGATTTTTCTGTAATTTCTGACGCAACTGTTTAAAACTCCTATACTAAATTATTTTTTTTTTACAAAGGCTAGAAAAAGTGTACTTTCTGTGTATCTATACTATCTAATATCTCTCACGTAAATAATGGTGTCTTAGTTACTGTGTTAGCTCACCTACAATTTCCTATATATGTATGTTTATGTTCTATCTGAAACTCTGGCATGGTGTTCACTCGCCTGTGAGTTGCTATTTGTGTGCTTGTGTGTTCTGCTGATGTAATGTTAGATCAGTCACTATCTAGTGACTACAACTATGTAACATACATTTGCCTTAATTTCCAGTATTCATTTAAATGTAATGTTTTACCTAATCCATTTCCAAAATTGCCAGTTCAATGTTTTAAAGTACTGCTTACAGAAGTAACTTTTTTTAACTACTCCAAATCAGGTCAAGTTTAGAATCATCATGATCACCCTGCAGTTGGCATGAAATTCAGTACAATTTAGGTAAAGGCTTGGAAAAATAAACTCTGACTTAAAATTCACCTGCCTTGGAGATTTTGGTTGAGTAAAGGCTAGAGATTGTGTTTTGATAAAAATACTTATCTTGGGCAAATGTTAACTGCATCCAGCTTCTTTCTTGTAGAAGTCCGCCTAGGTAAAGACCATAGGGTTAAAAAAAATTATTCTGTTGACCAGCCTCACACCTCTTCTTTATCTATTTGATGTAAATCTATGTTAGGTTATTTACTGCCTAGTGTGATAAATGCTGGGTCTCCTTGACTCTACTCATACATTTTTGCTTGTGCTCCCTTGATAGTGGCTATTCAACTCTCCCTGTTAACTTTTAATGAGGGTACTGCTTTAAAACTCAGTTTGACTGTTCTGATGCTGGCTAAGGTTTTCTAAACTCTGTGGTAGCTTTCAGAGAGGCTGGTTCTATATGTAAAATATCAGAGTATAAAAGGGATCCCAAACTCCTAACACATGTTGTGTTCATATTAAAGATAATGTTATAAAAAACAGTTTGAACCAAGTTTTTTTGATTAAAAATAAATAATAAATGCATACTGAGAAAAACTAATGTTGATGTTTTAGCCAAAGCTCGCCTTTTCTATTTTATTCAATAACTAGGAGTCTTCAAAATATACGTCGCAATCTACAGACTTCGGCGATTCTTTTGAAGCGTGTTTAATGCATAAAAGTTTAAGTATTTGACGTCACGGTAGACTTTTAACAAATAGAACTCTGGAAATATTTTTATTTATTTTTATTTAAAATTTTTTGATTATTTGTTTAGTTTTTTTTTTTTTTTTCTTTCTATTTTTAACATTTAAAAAGATATTAAAAAAACCTCAAATATTTTATGCTGGTTCGTTGCTATAAATTGTTATTGCGCCATATATTTAATGTTTATAAAGTATGAATATTTATTATCTCAATCAAGACTTAAATTATTGCCATTAATTAATGTGTTAATTATTGCGTTATTTAATAATAATTTGTCCGTATTTTTGTTAAATATTAGTTGTATAAAACAGGCAAAAATGTTTGTACTTCATGTTTTTAATTTGATGGTTATAAAATATTGAACAGTAAACTTATAAGCAAAATTTATAATGCCGACTTGTGACTCAAATACTAAAACTTTAATGAATGAAACGTGCTTCAAAAGAATCGCCGAAGTCTGTAGATTGCGACCTATAATTAAGACTTCAAGTTATTGAATAAAATGGAGAAGACAAGCTTTGGCTAAAACATCAACATTAGTTTTTCTCGGTATGCATTCATTACTTTTAATTAAAAAAACTTGGTTCAAACCTTTTTTTTAGCATTATCTTTAATATGAACATAACATGTGTTGGGAGTTTGGGATCCCTTTAACAGTGCCATGTTGCGCTCAGAGAGTATATATAAAATGTCAGAGTATTAACTGTCCCATATTGTGCACGGATGGTGTCCTTGTTTGTGCTTCTAATGTGCATTTTCAAGGACACATAAGGAGCCTTAAGTTACAACCTTGAGTTAATTAGCAGGACTGAGGTAACTGTACTGCTTATTGATTGGGATGCTCTGTCTATGATTGAGTCAAATTCTCTTTAACTTAAATCATTACAAAAAAACCCAAAAGAATTAAACATAAAAAACTGTAACCACCATTTACTGTTTAACTGTAACCACCATTTAACTGTTTCAGTATATATTTACAAATATTTGTGGTCTTTGAAACGCGGATTTGTGTATTATTTAATTTTATTAAATAATACACAAATATGGGTTTATTTGTATTATTTAATTTAGAATTTAATTAAAATGTTTGTTTTTTAATTTGATTGTTTTATTTAGAATTCAAATATGTTAGCTATGACAATTTTTTAAAACTATTTTATTTAAAATTTAAATGATATGTATGTTTTGCTGTTTTTTTAAATATTTTCATTCAGAATTTCAATAAAACATTCATTTTTTCATTTTTGTTTTTAATATCTTTTTTAGAATTTTTAAATTTTTATTTAAAATAAGACGTTTGTTTTATCATTTTTGTTTAAATTTTTTTATTTAGAATTTAATAAAATAGCGAGTTCTTCCTTAAATTTTTTTAAAGTGAAGTAATGTTTGTTTGCATATTAAAAACACTTTTAAAAGTTTTGTAAATATTTTTTTTTAAGTTTTGCTGATATATATATAATCTAATACTATTTAGTATCAATGTATAACAGTTTATAATCATTAGGGTATCGCATATTATCATTAATTTGTGCGCACTTTGTAACTATTCAAAATATTGTTTTGAAAAAAAAAAATTGATTAAGTTCAATAAATATCTTTGATATATCCAATAACTTATTAACTAGAATAAAAATATATATAAGAGGGAGTTTTGTTTGAAAATAAAACTCCCTTATATAACATATATCTCTTAAATTTAACATTCGCTTTTTTTAAACTTTTCAAAATAGAAAAAAAAGTTTATAAAAAAAAGAGTAACAAAGGAACTTTTTAAATATGAAAATTAGAAGAAACGCGACACAAAATAATATTTGTAAAATAAAACATTGTTTTAATAAAAAAGTAATCTAAACATATAAAAAAGAGTTTAAATATCAAATGCAAACGAGGCTTGAATAAATGATTGTTTTTTTTTTAAATTTAAATTCACCATCCACTACAGACGAGGAGGCTACTTTAGTTGTGGTTACAAACCTCTCTCAACTCTATAACTCCGAAACACAAACTTTAACAAACAAGGCCGCAGCACGGGGAAACAAGTTGAGCGCCATACTACCAAGAACGTGATAGGGATCAAATTCGGAACTTCTTGCTTATAGGTTCTACCACTACACCACTCCACATGAACTGTTTCTAACTCTAAAATCCATTTGTTCATTTTTGAAGATAACATTCATACACTCATCAATCAGAAAAACAGCTGTTGCAGACGATTGATTTATCTATGATATTATAGAAAACATTACAGTGTAAGACTAAAAAAAACTATTACTAAAATTTTAAATTTAAATACAATTTTAATTTAGCCATGAGCTCTTTTATTTAAATATCAAAGACCTATATAAATATTAAAATTCACTGCTCATGCACTCATTTACTTATATTACTGCCAAGGCCTATGTATGTATGTATGTATGTATGTATGTATGTATGTATGTATGTATGTATGTATGTATGTATGTATGTATGTATGTATGTATGTATGTATGTATGTATGTATGTATGTATGTATGTATGTATGTATGTATGTATGTATGTAAGTATGTATGTATGTATGTATGTATGTATGTATGTATGTATGTATGTATGTATGTATGTATGTATGTATGTATGTATGTATGTGTATATAAACATGAAATTAGTGCTACTGATGAAATAGTGAATTTGTTATTTATTTCAATACTTTATTTATTAATTTATTTTTAAAGATATTTAAAAATATTGAAAAAAACAGTTTTGAATATTATTTGTACAATAGTTTTGACTTTTAAATCGTCAATCAATAGCTTAATAATAAGAATAAGATAGCGGTTAAAATCTTCTCTCCGCCCCAGCCTCCCCTACACTAACTAGTAAAAAATAAAATTATCTCCTTAAGACTAGAATGGTCGCCTAGACTACTTATTTTTAACTTTTTTTAAAATGTTGATTTATTTCTCTTTTCACACAAATATTAATAAACTGTGTGGAGAATGTCAATCACTGTATCTCTTGTTTATAAAGTGAGTGCTCAACCTCTAATGTTTATAATGTTTATAAAGTGAGTGCTCAACCTCTAATGTTTATAATGTTTATAAAGTGAGTGCTCAACCTCTAATGTTTATAATGTTTATAAAGTGAGTGCTCAACCTCTAATGTTTATAATGTTTATAAAGTGAGTGCTCAACCTCTACACCACTACCACATACATATACTAAATATATACACACGGTGTTACTGTGTCAACACATAAAATTATATTTTTAAATATTGTTTATAGAGAATATCTGTTTGCTGTTGTTCTATTTTATGGAAGCAGTATATCTGGAAACCTAGCTTTTGAGTGTCACATATCTATGCCAATACAGATGATTTTTAAATCAGTGCGTTCTAATTTTTGATTTTGTGTTCTTGTTTTATTAAATCAATTTTTATTATGAAGTTAATTACAGAAAAATTTGTAAAGAGTTTGTAGAGAAAATTTGTATATGAATTTCTTTTGTAATTTTACAGTAATTTTTTCAGGGATCGGTTATGGCTAGCATGGCATTAGGTGTGTTGTTGCTTAAAAGAAGGTACTCATATTTGTTACTTTTTTTTTTTAGTTAATTATGCTGCAATCTTAATATCTTCTTTTTTCTAAACATTTAGTTATTCTCTTATTAAGTATATATCTGTTTTTAAACATTTAGTTATTCTCTCACTAAGTATATATCTGTTTTTAAACATTTAGTTATTTTCTCACTAAGTATGTATCTGTTTTTAAACATTTAGTTATTCTCTTACTAAGTATGTATCTGTTGTTATGATTACAATTGGTATTGGAATGTGTTTGTTATTCTCAACAAAAGATAAAAAGGTTTCTGTTCATCTTTGATTTTTAACATAAATATTTGAAGTTTGTTTCTTAATTTTAAAATAAATTATTTTTTTATATACTTTTGGGTAATTCTATTTCTTATCACTCAAATTTTTGGATCATGGACCTTCATATTTAGTTTAAACTTCTTTGGCGTATTTTACAAAAAAAAGTTCAAATGCAAAATTTCGGCCTAAAATGCAGCTGAAATATAGAAATTTTAATATTGATTAGGTTAATCAATAAATTAATAAATTTTATTATTGATCAGGTTATTGATGATAAATAAATTTTAATATGATCAGGTTATTGATGAGTAATAAAAATGGCAAACAACTTATAATGTATTATAATTTTATTAAAAAATAACAAGTTATGAAAATAAGCATATGCACACATAGGCATGGTATAACCAAAAAGGTCACACAATTATCTGAGCCAAACCATTTATTTGGATAAAATCAAAATATAGTAAATAACTCAAACTGAACCAAACTGATTAAATTATTTTGAATACGAAATAAACTGAACAAAACTAACCAATATCTTAAAAGACTTATTAAAACTTTTTCTTTTGAAATTAATCTTCCATTTACAAGAAATCTGGATACCATTTTTGAAATTTTATTGCAAACAAACAAATTTTTTAGTAACTCAATTTAAGTAAACATAAAAAATACTTCAAATGCCAAGTTTATTAAAAACTGTAAGCACTGTTGTTGTAAGGGTTGAATTAACTTAAGTTTATCATATTGCAAAAATTTATGAATAAATTAAACAATAAATTTATGACTGCAATAGTAGCAACTATCAAAACATATTTACTTTAATAACATAACAAAAAATATTTTAATTTACATAGCAATTTTAATTTACATAGTCAAAACTTACATATTTTAATTTATTGCTTGTTTAAACAGCAAGTTAATTCAGTTAATTGAAGTGTTATAAATTAAAAAAAAAATGATAATAAAAATAGTACTTATAAAAATAAAAAATATGATAATAAAATAAAATAATAATTAGCAAAAATACTGTTACAAAAATACATTTACAAACATGAGATTTGAAAATAGGCAATTCTCAAAATATTACTGAAGGTCTGAAAATATTCGTGGTAATTTTAAGATCAAATAATAGGTTCCTTATCCAATCCTACGTAGACCTGGGAAATATAAAAATAGAAATAAATATTAGATAATGTTATTGGGTGAGAAACAAAAATGAATGTAAAGACTATTTAATAGAAGGGAAGAAAATTTTCATTGCTCAGAGGGTAACCATAACTTCTAATCATCCTTAGCTCTAATCATCACTTAGCTCTAATCATCACGCTCTAATCATCCTTAGCAAATAATAAATCAATTGGCCTATAAGTTAACAAGTCTATATAAATCTGTTGGTGTACAAAGTGCTTGTGTTACTAAAAATATCGTACAATATCAATTTATAGAAAAATTTTCACTTACTATAAGTTCAACATTAGTTCCAGAAACTTCCAACACTAATTAGTGGTTGCTTGCAGCCTTGTTGGAAGTGAAGATGTTAAAAAATAAAAATAAAGTTTGAAGTTTGCAGAAATCCATCAGAGATTTACCAACTACATTTTTAACTTTAATAAATCTTTGAATCACGATCAGCATTAAATTTCGACGAATTTTTGAATCAATTTAAATAATTTAATTTTAAAATAAAAGGTTTTGAAGAATTCATTTTTAAAAGTGATTTTTTAAAAGTTAAGGTATTTTTTGAGCTTTAACAAGAATCTTATAAAAGTCAGGATAAGGGGTGGTCTCTAATTTCATTTTTATCATTATCAAAATCATCTTCTTTATCTTTTTCATTAGGGTTATTATTTTGAATTTTTTTTTTTTAATTTCATCAACAATAACTTTATGTCATCAACATTTCATAATGAATAGCTAAGTTTTATCAACAATATCTGAATTTTATTAGCAATAGCTAAATTTTATTAACAATAGCTAAATTGCATAAGCAATATATAGAAAAAGTAGGTATTCAGAAGAGAAATATTTACTAATATTCCGTAACAGAAATACCAATATTGGTTATGCAAACAACATCAGCAGAAAGACATTAAACATTTCAAAATTTAAATAAGTTTAGGGCAATCGTTTAAGGTGTACAATCATGACATTCTCTTTTATCCAAGTATCATAATATACTAGCAAAAAGCAACCCGTAATATGGGTTATGGTTGGTCTATTACATAACAAATTTATAGTGGCTGTTTTCCACAATTTTATGTTGCAAAACCTTAACTAATACCCTTTTAGAAAAATGCCTTCAAATTGAAAAAATTAATCCATCTATAAAATTAACATTAAAAGTATAGGGAGGTAAAATAGTTTACCAATAGGTAAAATAATTTATCAATTACTACTTAACATTTACAATTACTACTTAACATTATTTGAGTAATTTACAACTGACATAGGTCATAACAGTGTAAGGCAGAACCCTTTTCCTCGACATTCCTAAGTTCAACACAATACATTTTTAGTTACTGACACAAAATAATAACACTTCATCATGCTTTAAATTTACAAAAGTATCAACTAAATTATTGTAAATAATTTTTATAACATGAACTTTAATTAATTATTAAGATTAAGATGAATTTAACTTATATTATATAGGAACTACTAAGCAGCTGAGTACAAATACGTTTCAAACGAAAAAAAATAATTTACAATCAAACACGTGTATAATAAATTCAAAAAAATATGAAAATTTTGATCTAAAAGATCAAAGTTTTCATTTTTTTTTTTTTTTTGCATTAATGTGTCATATGACAAATCTGAAATAAAAATTGTAACAGATAAGTAGACATAAAAATTTGTGAACCAAGCTGATCCGGACCCGGGTCTTCTTAAGTCTGCTCAACACAGACCATTTCAATATTATTTGTTTGGCCTTTTTATTTCATTAATTTTTAGTAAACAGTATTTTGCTACCATTTACTAAAAATTCCTTTTGTTACTCTAAATTTAATTTTGCTAAATATTTTGACACTAATAAAGAGGTTCCTCCCCTCTTCTTGCTTTAATGGTGGCCTGGTGAGAAGAGTTTTTTTAATTAGGAGTAATTAAGTTTTTAATGAAGACCTTTAACCAAAATAATAAAATGTAAAACAATGATTTACATATAAGAATGTTTTCTTTCTTTCCTCAAAAGTGTTGCAAATGCAGACTAAGCTAACTAATTAGTTAAACAAGTAAATAAAACTTAAGTAAATCGATTATTTGACAAATGCCCAAAACTACAGTATTCTCCATGTTTTTAAAGGTTTTTAGTTACGACTCCCTGTTTACAATGATCCCCTAAGATACATACAACAAATTATTAGGCATAAAATATAAAAAAATTGAACTAATTGCATATATTTATATATTTTTAACTAACATTTACAATAAAAGGAAATCAGTTTTTTTTTTTATAAATCTTATAAATGCATCATACCGTAAATCTAAAAAAAAAGTAATGGAATTATGATATCATAATAACAACAACAACGAAAAAACCACCACATAAAAATTGAAAATCCATTTACCTATTTATTGATACTTATTTTGAAGTTGCAGTTAATATAAACATTTATCGAAAATGTGACTATAAAATCTGTTTTGAAGTTCAAAAGGATTAGCAATACTAAAAAAAAATATATATAATATAAAAATATATAGAGATATAAATTGCACTTTTAGCAAAATGTTGTCTTGGTTTTTAGTAAATAAATAAAAGCATTAAGCTCCAATAATGAAACTACCTATTATTCATTTTTAACAATAAACGCCAATGCGAAGGTAAGCCAAACTGTCTATCAACACAAAACATCACAAGAATAATATTTCAACAATAACACATAATAAAATTCAGTGAAAATAACAAACTAAATTAAAATATGAAAAGAAGAATTAAAAAACCAATTTAGAGTTAACTATATTTATCTTTTTACTAAACTTTAATAAAGTATACTTTTTATATTCAATATTAGTTATTTCAAATTTAGGACATTAAAGCACGCTAGATTTAAAGATTAAGGTTGCATACTCTCTCATACACATTACGTTAAACATTAACAGACATTATTATTTGTTTCCAGAATAATTTTAAAAGGCTAGACAACACAACCTAGCTTTAAAGCAGTAACACTGCCTGGTATTAAATGCTGCCAAGTAACACCTCTACTATAAGTACACCCCTTGGCTGGCAAGGTTATCATACTTGCTAAACATAATACCAAATCACACCACTTTGAAAACATGGAAACAACACAATTTAAACATATATACAGCTATAAACAAATATGACTTTTTATAACACATATAAACACATTTTATAACAATATTAGATGACAGATATATTTATCAAAAACTATGAAAAAATAATAATAATAAATAAAGTTACACATACAAAATGTGCTCACAACCTTTAACAGTAAATTTTTGAAATAAAAATCTAAAGACTATAAATTAAGAACATTAGAAAGTATAACACTATTTGTGTAACAATTTTCACCTACCATACCTTGAATAGGATGTTTATCAATTTTGAAAAACAAACTATTAAATGCTCAAGTTCTTGAACATGCAACATAAAGTTGGCTATAAGAGAAACACTGTTTTTGAGATATGTCTTTTGCCTATAAGTTTATTTTCGCGTTATGTAATACATGGACAATCCCTAAAGTAAAATACTTGAAACTGAAAAGATTTTATTTATTATAATATTTGAAAAACCGAGGGACAAATTTATCTTGCATTTATTAAATTAAACAATTTAAAGAATTATATCTTTATATCACAAGCAACTCATAAAATATATCTTATAAATGGTCATTATCAATTGTAGTATTAAAAAATGCGCAAGAGCACAGTAATTACATGAGTTTTATCAATTCTCCCTGTGCTAACTCTCATTAAAGTCTCATTTAAGAGAGAGAGAGGAAGTGTTTCAAAAGCAACATGTTAAAAAAA